GGGATACCTTGTTGGTCCGTAATACCGCGCACAGGACGGTCAAGATGACGCTCCCCCCCAAGATCCCCGCCTTGCAAAGGGTGGCCGCCTCGGTTACATCAACGTCGACTTCCACCATGCGAAGGCACGCCTGCGCCAGACCCCCTACAGTCTCAAGCAGTACAAATACGACCCCAAAACGTCTTGCGGGCCCGGCCCTCCGACACAAATTGTGGTTACGGGGTTCAATCCTATCACCCCTTTCTCGACGGTCACCACCTGTTTTGCTGCTTTTGGAGACATTGCTGAGAGCAGCAACAAGCTACATCCCGACAATGGTAGTTACCTTGGTTTTGCAACCTTTAGGTACAAAGATACGAAGCCGAATAGGTCGCGGCCTCAAGTCATTAGTGCCGCCGACGCAGCAAGAAATGCGGTCCGTGCCATGAATAACAAGCAGATTGCAGGGCGCCTTGTTCGAGTCGACTTCGACCCTGACGGAAAGAAGAGCTCCGAAATGCTCGTTCAGGCCATCCGAAAAGACTCAGAAAGACACAACAGTGTCCCATCGACGGCAAGACCTATTCCTACAGGCCCACGGGCTAGTGTCCCAGGACCTCCTCCTACTGCGCCGCGAGGTCCAGCTGCCCACAGAGCACCACCACCTCCGCCTCCTATTGCCGGTCGGGGAGCGGGAGCGGGACCAGTACCAGTGCCAGGACCGCCATCAACCAGGCCCGTGTACGTGATCGAGACTGAGAGCGTCAAGGAAACGATCCGGGAAGCGCCCTACATCTTCGTCGCCCACGAGTACGTTCCAGTCCAGCCGTCAACGGTTATGCACATGAGGAAGCGCCTTAAAGTGTACGCCATCGAGACTATTCGCGCCGATAAGAGTGGCTATTACGTGATTTTTCACAACAGCGACCGGGGTCGCCACGATGTTGAGCGTTGCTACAGGGCATGCAATCGGACACCTTTCTTCAATTACCTTATGGTCATGGAACTCAACACCTACGGGTCAGAGGGCAGGGGCTCAAGGACATCTCGAGAGCCTCGAAGACACAGTCGAAGTCCTGAGCGCAGGCGAGTAGACGACCATCGATCACACCGTGACCACGACCGAGGCCGACGTGATGAGGATCGACAGAAACGGGAGGAACAAGACCGACGAAAGCGTGAAGAGGAGTCACTGCTAAAGGAAGAGAAGGATCAAAGAGCCAAGAACTTCGATCCTGTAATCGAAGCTACCAATGTGGTAATTCAACAGATGAAGGAGCAGCTCATCAGGCACATTCGAACCAAGATTGCGGCGCCAGCCTTGTTGAACTTTCTTGATCCTGCCAACCAGGTGGCCAGCCGACGGAAGCACAACATTGAAGACCCGCATTCCTCCAAGCTCTCGATCACTTTTGACGACTCCGACACCAAATCACCGGTTGGCACACCGAATTCCAGAGCGGATCCAATCGAGAGGCGAACTGGTCGACTGGACGTGTCTGCGCTTCCCCGAATTCGCAAAGCGAAAAATGCTGCTCTCAACGCCCGCAAGCATGCCTTCAACGACCCCTTTGCGCGCCACCGACCTCCCACCCAACGCTCGACGTTTCGATCTCTTCATGACCGCCTGCAAAGCGATAGCGATGATGACTCGGATGACGAGGTGGATCACAGGTATTTGAATGTTCGGAATACCGATGAACCTGAATCTCGACCTCGTAGCCGCTCGTCCACGGATGACGAGGCTACCAAGGAAGACTATGCGTCATGGGGCCCAGCTGAGGAAGATTCGATGACGGAAGCCAGCTTTGCGTTGACTGACGGGCCGGCTCTTCCCCGAAAAAGAAAGCTGGACTTGCAGATGGAGACGGCTATCAAGCGGCAGAAGAAAACGGACGAGGAGCTTTTCGGAGTCACCATCAACCGCGTCGACCCAGGTTACCCCTCGAGAGAGCTTTCGCCGGAGGATATTGTGCTCCCCGATGCCGAACCCTTGGAGGAGAGGGACACTGATAGTTCGCGGATGCCGACACCTGTTCCTCAGGGGGCCAAATCCAAAAAGAAGGCCACGAAAACCAAAAAGAAGTCCAAGAAACAGATTTTCGAGGAACGTGAAGCCCTCAAGCGTCAGCAGGAAGAGATCTTTGAGAAGGAGGCCTCTCTGGCTGCGGATGAGGTCGAGCCAACACCCGATGCTGAGCCTGAACCGGGCATCAAGGAAGCTGCTCTTGACGAGGAGCCAGATGTCGAGAAAGGAGAGAAACCTCGGAAACTGGACCTTGATGAGAAGATGTATCCGTCTGAGAAGGTTCGCGCATTTGAGCTTCCTTCGAACTTCATTCTTAACGAAACTTCGCTTCGGGCTTCGGTTCTGCCTGCACTTTCCCACGCTGATCTGCCGAATCTGGAAAGATTGAAACAGAGGCAGGGGAGTGGACATCTGGAGCAACCTCAGGTCTGGGCGTGGATGCGGGACCGTGTTCGTGAGCTAAACTCAACCGATGGTTCGAAGGATACTCCTTGCAGCATTGGCGGCTACTATGTCCCCAATACAACCGGCTGTGCCAGGACCGAAGGTGTCAAAAAGATTCTCAACTCGGAGAAGTCCAAGTACCTGCCTCACCACATCAAGGTCCAGAAGGCCCGGGAGGAGAGGCAGGCGCAAAACGGGAAGTCGGGCAAGGACTCGGTCCTGGCTGCCGCAGAAGCCGCAAAGTTGGCGGCGGAGAGCCAGGTTGCTAGAGGCACCTCGCGTGCCAATCGGGCGAACAACCGTCGTTTTGTGGCCGGTCTGCATGACCAGATAAGGGGTCTCGGCCAGGATTCGGACGCCTTCAGGTTCAACCAGCTCAAAAAACGGAAGAAGCCCGTCAAGTTTGCTCGGTCGGCCATCCACAACTGGGGACTGTACACCATGGAGAACATTCCCAAGGACGACATGATCATCGAATATGTGGGCGAGGAAGTCCGGCAGGTGATTGCAGAGCTCCGGGAGGCGAGATATCTCAAGAGCGGCATAGGTAGCAGTTATCTCTTCCGAATTGATGACAACACGGTCATCGACGCGACCAAGAAGGGCGGCATCGCGCGGTTCATCAACCACAGCTGCATGCCCAACTGCACGGCCAAGATCATCAAGGTGGAGGGCAGCAAAAGGATTGTCATTTATGCCCTCCGGGACATTGCTCAGAGTAAGTTTACATCTAATAAGCGACTAGTTTTCCGTGATGTGATCATTGGCTAACCTTGTGCTCCAGACGAGGAGCTAACATACGACTACAAATTCGAGCGTGAGATAGGAGCTACGGACCGCATTCCCTGCCTATGCGGAACAGCGGCTTGCAAGGGCTTCCTCAACTAATGCCTTTAATGTCTTTTCACCCTTGCCCTTTTCTCAGGCATCTTTCTTTTTCTCAAAAAAAAATCACCATGGGTCTGGGTTTGGCCACACTTATGGCAGGCGCACGGCTATTCTTTGTCCAAGGAGGAAAAACTGGAGTCCATATACTCAGGGCGCGCGGATAGGGCTTATTTCGGGGCAGGCGAAAGCGGGCAGGCAGGCTTCTGAGCAGGTTTGCCCTCTCACTTTTGAGGCTTATTCACCAAGCATTTGACAAGCGATTTCAACTCTCACTTTATGCCCGTTTCATCATGACTTGGGTACTTGATTTTGTTTTTCTCCTCCTTTCCCTTTTCTGGAGCTTATTGATTGGGCTTACTTGTGATAAGGCGGTGCACGGATATGATAATAAAGTCAACGTTGGAGATGAAGACGAAAAAGGAAGGGGAGCAGGCAAGCAATGGGAAATGATGCTTGCTACCGCAAAAATCCCTTTTGCTTTGATATCGTGGCATACATGTACATAATTGTAAGATTTAAGGAGTCTGGTGAGGGAGATTGTGGGGGGGGTATCTAGGCTTAGGATTCGCATTGGGTTTATGGAGTTTGCTGATTAAGGGAATTGGGATTTTGGAAGAATGGGAGGGTGGTGTTTGGTGTTCTAAGAGAGTTATAGACGGGCAGAAGCGCGTGGTGCCTCGGGATTGATTTGGTAGCCAAGTAAATGCAGCGCATCGAACTTGTTTTTGGAGATGTCGAGTATTCACATGTAAACAAAACAGTGGGAGATGCTATAGGCAGGTGTTGAAGTTGACGTCTCTCCAATCTCTTGAAATACAGACGGAGTATCTACGGAATATTTGACAGAACAGAGTTGCTGGGCCGCTCAGCTGGCAAGAGGGATCGTAGTTTCAGATCAAATGGAAGTGTTGGTTCCTTCCGCCTCGGTGAGCCTGCCCAGCTGGTAATTACGCGGTTTAGTTATTGTTATTAATGACAGCGTGGAAATTAAGATAGTGTTTGGGTCACTTTCCTCTTACACTAACTACATTGTAAAGGCGCTGGAAGTTGTCTGTCATTCTTGAAACTATTCTACCTACATCCCGCGACACTGGACATCATCGACTGCGAGCGGAAGGTCTCTGAGTGTCCTGGATGCAGGCGGGACTGGGACTGGGACTGCGCCCGCGGTTGAAGGCGCGGCCGTCGCTGGTTGACTTGTTGGTTAGAGCTGCTAGCACACAGCAGCAAGCGTCATCGCCTCCACCGCCGGCTGGCAACGACGCTCCCTCAGGCCCCGGGTCCCGCCAAGAGGAGCTCCTCCGACCGGGAGCTCCAACTGCAACTGCAGCGGCGCTGCTGATTCTCGACCAAGCTGCGAACCTCCCACTTCCTAGCTCGCCAGAAACACCACGCATCAACACGCCCGCATCCGTCCCGCCATCGTCGGCCTCTATTTCTAATATACCTACGCTCGTCATTACTTCTGAATCCCCTCCGCCATCTCCCCTTCCCGCGCCTACAGCAATTGTTGCTCCTCCCCCGAAGCCCAGCATGGCCCCCGTAAGCTAGCCTCCCCCCGCCTCCAACTCTCTCGAGACAATGCAAGCAAGCTGTTCATGGCGTGCGTCTTTGGACATCTGCCTAACCACCACGCCGGCGCACCTTCACCACTACCACCACGAATCCGATGCACCCCCCTTTTTGTTACAATGGGCTATGGTCACTGACATGATGGTGCCTTGCAGTCCAAAGCAGATGGCCAGGATGGAGTGCACAGCGGTATGCGCCAACCCCTCATCCCAACCACCACATTGGTGGTATATCTCTAGTTGCTAACTGATGGGCTTACAGGCAAAATCTACTCGGTGTCTGGGTTAGTTCGAGCCGATACATCCCCCGATAACACATACCGAAAGATCCTCGATGGCTAACATGCAGCCCCCAGCCCCGTCGTTGTCGCCGAGGACATGATTGGTGTTGCTATGTATGAGTTGGTATGGTTCTGGTTCGGTCCGATGGCATAAAAGACGCTCTGGCTAAGCTATGGAAACAGGTCAAAGTTGGTCACGATCAGCTCGTTGGTGAAGTCATTCGTATCAATGGCGACCAAGCGACCATCCAGGTGTACGAGGAAACAGGTACGATGCGGCTCTCCACCCTGCCCGGCGCAAGCTTGCCGAAGCTAACCTCGATTGTCTCACAGCCGGTGTCATGGTTGGCGACCCCGTGCTTCGAACCGGCAAGCCCCTCTCCGTCGAACTCGGCCCCGGTCTCTTGAACAATATCTACGATGGTATCCAGCGCCCACTTGAAAAGATCTCGCAGGTCTCCCAGAGCATTTATATCCCCAGAGGCATTGCCGCTCCTGCCCTCGACCGCGAGAAGAAGTGGGAGTTTACCCCAACCAAGAAGGTCGGCGACCACATCGCCGGTGGTGACGTATGGGGTACCGTTTACGAAAACTCGTTCATTACCGTCCACAAGATTCTCTTGCCTCCCAGGGCTCGCGGTACCATCACGAGGATCGCCGAGAAGGGCAGCTACACAGTCGAGGAGAAGATCCTCGAGGTCGAGTTCGACGGCAAGAAGACTGAGTACCCCATGATGCAGACCTGGCCAGTACGTGTGCCGCGCCCAACCACGGAGAAGCACTCTGCCAATCAGCCCTTCTTGGTCGGTCAGCGTGTGCTCGACGCTCTCTTCCCTTCGGTCCAGGGTGGTACCGTCGCCATTCCCGGTGCTTTCGGCTGTGGCAAGACTGTCATTTCCCAGTCCGTCTCCAAGTTCTCCAACAGCGATGTCATTGTGTACGTCGGCTGTGGTGAGCGTGGTAACGAGATGGCCGAAGTCTTGAAGGATTTCCCATCGCTCAAGATTGAGGTCGATGGCCGCATGGAGCCTATCATGAAGCGCACAACTCTTATTGCCAACACGTCCAACATGCCCGTCGCTGCCCGTGAAGCGTCCATCTACACCGGCATCACAGTGGCCGAGTACTTCAGAGATCAGGGCATGGACGTCGCCATGATGGCTGACTCGTCTTCCCGCTGGGCTGAGGCTCTGAGAGAAATTTCCGGCCGTCTCGGTGAAATGCCCGCTGATCAAGGTTTCCCCGCCTACCTCTCTGCCAAGTTGGCCTCGTTCTATGAACGTGCCGGAAAGGTCCAGGCGCTGGGCAGCCCCGACCGCGATGGCAGTGTCAGCATTGTTGGTGCCGTGTCACCACCCGGTGGTGATTTCTCCGATCCTGTTACATCTGCCACGCTCGGTATCGTGCAGGTCTTCTGGGGTTTGGACAAGAAGCTTGCGCAGCGCAAGCATTTCCCTTCGATCAACACCTCGCTCAGTTACAGCAAGTACACCATGACGCTCGACAAGTGGTACGAGAAGGAGTACCCCGACTTCCCTCGCCTGCGCGACCGTATCAAGCAGCTTCTTTCCGACAGTGAAGAGCTCGACCAGGTCGTCCAGCTGGTCGGCAAGTCTGCGCTGTCTGACCCTGACAAGATCACCTTGGATATGGCTACCCTCATCAAGGAGGATTTCCTCCAGCAGAACGGTTACTCCAAGTATGACCAGTTCTGCCCCATCTGGAAGACGGAGTGGATGATGAAGCTCATGATGGGATTCCACGATGAGGCGCAAAAGGCGATCGCCTCTGGCCAGAGCTGGGCCAAGGTGCGCGATGCCACCCAGGACCTCCAGGGCGAGCTGCGCAGACTCAAGTTTGAGATTCCAGATGAGGGACAGGAGAAGATTTGCAAGAAGGTTAGTCCCTTTACTATCATCCCCTGGAAGAGAGAATCATGAACTGACAATGAAATAGTACGAGGCGATACAACAAGCCATGCTTGACAAGTTTGCTTCCGTGATTGACGAGTAAAAAAATGATGTATTGTTGACAGCAAGGGGCGTCACGGTTGTTGGCATATTCTAAGCGAACTCATTCTGGGTTCTTTTTGCAAAGCGCGGTCATCGTGACAGGTTGTTGCTGTTTGTAGGTACTACAATTGCGTTTGACATGTGATGATTGTTGAAGGGTGGGGGAAAGGGGATGGGTGGTGGATTATTACCCTGGCTTTCATAGATTTCTCTGTTCTGTCAGTCTCTGTTCCTCTGTCCCTCTTTCTGACATACACATTCTTGGGGGTTCAATGGGGTAGATAGTGTATTGATTAGTTCTGCAAACACTTGATGCTTCGGTAATTCGGATCATGATGTTGTCATGTGAAGATTATTGATGAAGCAGAATAGTTTGAGACTTTTTTGTATTTCAACCGTCATTATATACCATACATCATATCCAGTTGGGATGGGTCGTTATCGTTATAAACAAGCAACAAAAACATCAACAGCAGCAAGTGACTCTTTTCTCACCCTCTCTCTCCTTCTCAAACCAGATAACAACCCGCCTGCCTGCCTAGCCATAGCCGTCCAGATAGAACCCCATACCAACCATCCATATAAGCCTTTGCCAACCAAATATTTCCAACAAACTTTGAGAAGCCAAACCAGCCAGCCAGCTAATAACCATCCGAACTAGAATCAAACCATGACCCAAATATATCTCCTCGATCAATGCGCCGCCAAAGAAGCGAAAACGTATAATATCCCAGCCCTCTCGCCACCTTTTTTTTCTCCACATCTCTCTGTTTGAAAGTATTCCAACACGTTCTCTTTTCCAACAAGATTTCCAACAAACCATTCAACTCCAACACAGACACTGGGGTATCCCCCTCTTCCAACTCTTCTGATCCCTCCTCTTCTTTCTCAAATAGCTCCACAAGTCAACTCATCCCCCCCCCCCGGAAACGAGAAGGCAGCCAATAGAAGAGGGATGAACCCTCTAAATCCCCTTCTCCTTTCCCCCCTGCTGCCGCTGCTGCTCGGGCGGGCTCAAACTCCGTTCCCATTCCTTCATAAACTCACTCCCCATCTTCTTGATATTGGACGGGGTGAGCTTGTTGAGTACAGGCGGGAGCAACTCCTCCAATTTCCCGGTGCCGTTGGGGGATGAGCCGTTCCTCTTGTTGTTGCCGCCGCTGTTCAGTCTCGATTTCGAGTTTTTGTTTTTCCTGCACACAAGATATCATCAGAACCTCTTCTTTTAAACGAAAAAAGAAAAAAGAAAAAGACATTAAGGTGTATATTTTGCCCGCTGGCTGGGCTGGGTATCTCTTCAAACAAAGGAAAAGAAAAAGAAAAAACCGTTGTTGAATAAATAGAAAACCCGGGTATCACATCAAACAAAAAAACGAAAAAAATGGGACTCATACAATGGCGTCTCTTCCTCCTCCTCTTCCTCCTCCCCTCCCCTCTTCGGCGAGGTCGGATCACTAGGCATAATATCCCCATTCACCGTCGTCCCGCTCCACCGCGGACTCGACACACCACCACCCGTCGGCGGGCTGCTATTCCAATTCGACCAGTCATTATCATCCACCGAGTCGGCCGTCAGCGGCGTCCACGAGAACCTCTTTGTTGGTTTTGCCGCTTCCGTCTTTGATCTCCTGAGGGGGAGTGGTGGTGGTTTAAACTCCTCTTCCTGGGCAGTAGTAGGGATAGGGTTCATTGTCGCCAAATCATCAAACGCCGACGAAACCTTTGGTCGAGGATTGGGTGCGGGCCGGATGGTGTCTTGCTGATCGCTGCTGTCAAAAAGGAGCATCCTCTCCACTTTCGTCTGGCGCATGTTGCCCGTGTTGTCGCGGAGGTAGACGCCCTGTCCGGTGATGGGTTCGTCGCCTACCGTCGCTTGGCGGATGTCTTCCATGAAGGTCCAGATACCTGATTTGAGGTCCTGGGCAATCTGCTTAACGCTTGTAGGCTGGGGTGTAGTCCTCGGTGCCCAGGAGGCGCGTTTGGCGAGGTAGCTCGGAGTAACAGGAGCATAGTTATGAACACCATGTGGATCGTAGTCCAGTTTCAGATGGTTCGGCCCGTCTTCATGTATGGAGAAGCCCTCGCCCGGTTTTGTCGGTGATAGCAGCGAGAGTTTCCTCGCGTGACCACCAGTGAATACCCGTCGCCGGCTCTTTTCCGGTGTAGGTTGCTGTTGTTGGTGCTGCTGCCCCAGCAACGTCTTCCTCCTGTCCAGCTCAATGCTCCTCCGGATGGCAACCTCGTCGTGACAATCCGCCGGCGAGTTTAACGATCGCAACGCTTCGTGGTTTCGCCTGTTAGCTGGTCTCTTCTTGTATCCCTCGTGTAGAGTAAACTCCTCTTTTAACCTCGCCAGCTCGGCCTCGGCACGGTCCAGCTCTTCCCTCAGCTCCATTACTCGCCTCTCCTGCGCTGCTATCGCGGTGATGAAGTCGATTCCCTCCACCGGAGACATGATGGAGGAGGGGGTGTCTAATGGTGTTGGGGGAAAGGTCGCTGCGGTGGTGGATGCTGGGACGGGTCGGGAGGGGAAGGCACTTGGTGGTGCGATGGGTAGGGTCAGGGATAATCTGTTGGTGGTTCTGGAGGCTGAGGAGGTGGATCGTGAGGAGCGACCCTCGCTGAACCCACCAAAGGGGGAACTGGGCGAGCTGAGAAGATCATCGGGGATTGTTCGAGGTCGTGTGTCATCTTGACTGCTTCCTCGGCTTCCAATTCCTCGATTGGCGACGTGCCGCCGTAGATTGTTTGGTGTTCCTTGTCCTGCCATTGTATCGTCCAGGCTTCTTCTAGGTGAAATCATCTGATCCATGTAGTAAGGGTGCTGTTGGTTCTTTGGCGTGACGGGTGTTCTTGGGCGGGGTGGTTCGGTCTTCTGTGCTGGTGGTGGTGGTGGTGGTTGTTTGTTTTCAATGATAAGGGGGTCGGGGGCGATAAACGAGTGTTGTTGTGACGGCTTGCGCAAGGAGGAGAATTCAGGATCAAAGGCCGACCAAGCAGCTCTGCGGCGTCGAAGAAGGCGGTGGCGGGGAGCGGTGTAGCGAGTCGTTCTTCTGGCGACGACGACGGCCTTGTGAGCGTTCAGCAGGCGGCTGTCGCGTTGGTATAAAAGAGTGTAGGCGCAAGCCGAAACGAAGCAAGTTCGGAGGATGGGGATGGAGGTCATGGAAAAAAAAGAAGAGAGCAGCGCTTTCAGAAGGGGACGACAGTGGGTGGAAACCTCATCTCGCCCGATTCATGCGACCCTTTTTTCTTATTGGTGAGCAGACCTTGACCGCCAACCAATGCTGGGGGGTCTCGTCCGGGGGTTGTATGGGTTCGTCGGTGCGACTGCACAGCCCGGTCCTAGCAGCTGTAACTGACAGGGCCCCGCTCCAGATCGTTTGTTCTGAAGCTCTCAAGAATAATGTATTCGAACGTTCGGTTGGAACACGGGGGCGGGTATGTGTGGTGTTGCGGTCTCTCTGTGTTGAACTCGGACAAGATATGGACGAGATATACCCGCCGGACGGATAGCAGCCGTGGTGGCACAAACTGTTGGGGTAGCCTGGCGGCTGCGATCGAATCCTCTCCCCCGTCGGACTTGATCGCTCACCTAAGCACTGGAGACTGTGGTCTGGCTCGTGGGGCCGACAGGGAATAAAAAGGTAAGGTTGACCGTTGGCCAGTGGAGGTGTTGCAAGTCGCAGGGAGATTCCAGGAGGTCGGAGAGGGGCTTCGATTATTTTAAGGATTCTCAAAATTCATTTCGATTACCTGCATGCCGTGTTGCTCCGCAGTCTCTTCCAGTGCCACAACCGCACGCGAGGATCTGGACGATGACTGGATGGACCGATGGCGAAGACGAGGGACTTGTTGGCCAAGATGGACGAGGTGGTGTGAGTGGGAATTCGGGGAATCGAATGCAAGACATTCCGCGGCAACCAGACAACCTCACACCCTACCCAGCACTACACACATCACGGGGAAAGGAGCATGAGATCCCAATGACCTTAACGAGATAAACAAAACATTCGAATGCTTCGAGAAGCAGAAACGCATGGATGAGGCGCCCGGGGTATCACCTATGGCCCGGATATTAAACGGGGATTCTATACCCAGCAATTGTTTGATATAAGCTGGGATGAAAACCTCACCAGCAATGGCTTGGAAACCGTTGCATCGTATACAAAATAGAAATCACAAGCCTTCTCGAACAAGGCTGCAAACTCGGTTTCCAGGCGCTGCCAACTGGCTGCAAATCTCAATTTCCCCTGCATTTGGAAAGTGGGACGCCCCGGATTTTGGGATCTGGAATTCTTGGAGGCAATGATGCACGGACCACTTGACAAAGAATCTCTGATTGTACTCACGTGATCCCGCGTCCTCGACGCGCTTGCGCTTCTTAGAACGGTACAGCTTGGGCAAAGGGATGCAACCGTTGTTTCCTAATCAAAGCCATGGCAACGTCCCGGCGACGAGCAGCTTACGATTTCTTTTGCCATTGAGAGAAATCGTGGGCGAATTAATTTCTGGTTCTTTTTAATCAATTCACTAGGATCCAGAACCTGCGGATTTCCAGCAAGCCTTTCTCTTACGATCCGCCAGTTCGCCGCTGGGTATTGGCTGGGTTTAGGTGTGGCCAACAACATGCCATCCAAGACACTGCGAGGAGCCGAGAAAAAGGCGCTGGAAGGGGAAAATGAGTCTCAGGACACTCTGGAGGTTTTTAACCGCTTGGTGCAAGGCTACGGTGTTGGCATTGTAAGTTCTTGGTGGCGCTGAATAGGGGACCCCTCACCTTCTCTAGGCTTCCAGCATCTCAGGATTGGCTAACATCGAGACACTGTGTAGGCAAGCAGCTCACCTCCACCACCAGACCTCAGCACCACGCCGCCTCCAAGCAAGCCTGGTGTTCAGAAAGGTGCGTCAGTGCTTTTCTCTTTTTTTTTTTTTGTAATTTTCTGTGACGAATCCTGAGGACTGACGGATACACATGCACTTAGACGTTGGCCGCTTCAAAAAGCCACCATCCTTCAACGTGAGTATTTTTCGCACGGTTCCAAGGCCGTTGAATTTCCCCGCAAAGCAAACGTTCAACGCCCCTGTTTGTCCGTTCCATGGATTGCACTGACCAGCTTCACAGACGCGGGGGATGACGCGTGAAGGCAACAACAACTCACAATCTCGTCGTCAACATCGTTCCGGCGTGGAAAGGGCACCATCACAGGGGTCACAAACCCGCCAGGCTCCTGGCAGCGATGGCCCAGACACTCAGTTAACAGACATCCCTGCCCCAAACCAGATCAACGTTGCGCGCCGAGACAAGATGGACTCGCAAAAGTCGACACAGTCCAACAATGGTCGAAGCTATGACCAGTACTGTCGTTCGCCATCTCCCAGCATGAGCACTCGGACTCGAGAACAAGCGATTGTGGAGGAAGAGAATGCAGGGACGGTGCAGTTTGATCTTGATAAAATTCCCCAGGAAACGCCCTATCATGGTTCCAATCTGCCACACGACTCGGGCTTCGTTGACTATGGCACAAGTCGTCTTCCCAAACATGCATCTCACCAGCCCATCTTATCGTCGCCTCGCCCGCCAGAGACACCGGCTGCTCCACATAACCCGTTTCGACAAGGACTCTCTCAGCTACTTTCCCCGTCCCAAATGTTTCAGTCGACCCAGTTTTCATCGGCCGTCAAGGTGGCCAGCCCAACTTCCTCACGACCATCACCGGCAGAGTTCCCTCACCTAGGATCACTTACCGGCCCAGCTCTGTCATCCCCACTTAAGGATCGGGGTCTTCGGTCGTCTTCTGTCCCGAACCCGCCATCAAGCCCACAGATTCTTTCAGGGAGAAAGTCATCCAACCTGGAAAATCGACCCAGCAGTCCCATTCCTAGCGCCTCGAATGGAAACAAAGCTGCTACTGAAGCGCCGCAATCTGAGTTGCTCCCAAGGCGAAGAGCAGCCCTGGAGCCAATGGCCGCTTATGAGCCTATTCACAAGTCCCAAGAAAGACGTGGCTCCTCGGAAGTGCGGTCAGACCCTCCTGTATTCAAAATGGACGATGATGATGACGAGGAGCTACTTCGACGTCGAAGGGCACAGAGCAAAAAGAATGCTGCGCTCAAGTCACTAACCGCCATCAGTGTACCGCGTTCAGCGAAGACGAAGATAGCAGAAATCGAAGTGCCATTGACGAGCAGTGAGAAACAAACGACAAAGGCGGAGGCATATCTTGCCCAGTGCCACGGCACCGAGGCTCAAGATTCTTCACCGGATGAAGAGACCATCAAGGACTCCCAAGCTAAGAACTTGCCATCTGGACCGAAACAGCCCGATATTGTTGACGACGATGCAACCCAGTCTGACAACGGGGATATGGCAGAGCCAGTGGTAGACTTGACGCCAGTAGCAGAGCCCGAACTTCCAGCAGTGCGTTCAAGGCGGTCAGCTCGTTCGGGCCATCCTGTTGAGCCCCCAGGTCTAGCTCCAGCTACATCCATTATTCCGGAAACGAGTCCTACACGAGTTAGAATGGAAGCCGGTGTGGTAGAGGAGCCAACCCATCAGCCGGCTGCCCCAGAACTGGAGCCGGCCTTGCCTCACTCGACCCCCCCGGCGCCCAATACAAGATCCAGAAGGGCAATTCTTGAGCCTCGTCACCCTTCAAGCTCAGACCTCACCTCCATCGCCTCAACCCCCAGTATCTACACAGACTCTACTAGAGCATCTGTGTCTGAGCGCTCGCCTCTCGAGGCTTCAATGGCTGGCAACTTCTCAGCGGTTTCTACGAGACTGAACCGGAGACAAGCCCGTGAGAGAGTTGCAAAGCCGAAAGGCTCAAGAGAGAGTCTGAGGCAATCTGTAAGGTTGCAGAGCAGGAGGGGCTCAGGTTCAACAGACGAGCTCGCTCTGCCCCTGCCGACAACGCCGGCTTTTGAGGATAGCTTGGGCGTCTCCCGTCTCAATATTGCTTCGGCATCTCGGTCTACTTTTCGAGCTGCCTGCGTGAGCATCAAATCGCCCTTCGGCCAGCCTACTTCGGGATTGTTCAGCAATATGGCTTTTGCCATTTCTTTTCAATCGAAGAAGCCAGGTGAAACCAATGATCAGTACAAGAAGCGCATGGACGATTCAACCACCCTTCAGAAGCGTATTGCGCAAGCTGGGGGCAGGGTGCTTCCAAATGGATTCGATGAGCTCTTTGAGGTTTCACCCGGGAGATCACTCACGTCGACCCCGGTCGCTAGTCCTGGGAAGGGCCAGACGTCGGCTGAGATCCAACTCACTCCCGCTGGGTATGCCACCGGATTTACGGCGTTGATTGCTGATGGGCACTCTCGCAAGGTGAAGTACATGCAGGCTTTGGCGTTGGGGCTGCCGTGTATTGCTCCGCGTTGGGTGACGATGTGTCTAGACAGGGGGGAGCTGGTGGACTGGTCGCCTTTTCTCTTGTGCGCTGGACAGTCGGCTTTTTTGGATAATGCCATCAGGTCGAGGAGTTTGGCTCCTTATGACGCCGCGACGGCTAGGTTGGCGGATGTGGTTGCCCAGCGCCCGAAGCTGCTGCAGGGGAGCAGGATGCTGGCCGTGGTGAAGAAGTCGGTCCAGTCGAAGAAGATGCCGTATGTGTTTCTGGCGCAGGTGCTGGGGGTTTCGTTGACGAGGGTGTATACTGTTGACGAGGCCAGGGTGGCGGTGAAGGCTGCGGAGGAGGCGGGGCAGGTGTTTGACTGGGTTTATGTTGATGGGAAGTCGGTCGAGCAGGCGCTGTTTTCGGCCCCTTTTTCGACGGGGCAGAAGAAGAAGAGGAAGAGGGGGTCGATGGCGGCGCCGGAGGTGGTGACGGGGGATGGTGGTGAGCCGCCGTTGAAGAGGATTAGGACGCTGGATGATGAGTTGGTGATTCAGAGTTTGATTTTGGGGAGGTTGATTGAGGAGGGGGAAATGGAACAGTGAGTGTGTGTGTGTTGGGGGGGGGGGGGATATCCAGTTTACTTTTGGTTTTTTTATTTGGTTTTTATCTGTCATGTATGATTAGCGGGTATGGCGATGGGAGTTGGGGGGGATATGAGATATCACGCCTGTAGTTTTGTAGGAACGGGATGATGGGTATAGGACAAGAGAATTTATCAGATGGGGATTAGACGGAGAATGGAAGGGGGAGGGATGGATTTTATATAGCATAATGTGAGGATACAGCGTATAGTTTATAGCAGATCACTGCGTTTTGAACAGGGAGTTAGTCAAGAGGGGAAAATGAACGTCGTGAATTCATATTACAAAACTTTTACCCTACACTTTCCTTGCGATACAAATCCCAACCCATTGACAAAGGAAATAACTCCCCCTCCGCCGAAAAGTAAGTTAACGAACGTCTCTAGTTAGTCCAACCTGTCTCTCACTTTTTTTCTGCTATCCAGTCCTTTTTTTTTTTCTTTTTTTTTTTTTGCAGGTCAATCAGTTACACGGAGCATCACACCTCCCGATATGATCCTTGTCGGGATTCAGACAAGTCCCTCCGCAACTGCAGAGCAGCTCGATCTTGTTGCCCGCGGTGTCGGTCAGGCTGCAGGAGCTGCCGCCGCCTGCGCCGGCGACGGGGGCTTGTCTCTTTTTGTTGTTGAAGCCGCGGGGGTGGAGCTTGTTGTTGTTGTTACCAAAACCGGAAAAGAGTGATCTGAAAAAGGAGGAATGGGAGGAGGAGCCGTCATCGGAGTTGGCGTAGGGGTTGGAGTTGGGGGAGATGTTGGAGGTGAGGGACAAGGTGGTGGTGGAGTTGTCGGGGGGGACGCAGACGTAGAGGGCTTGGATGGGGTCGGTTTTGGTCTTGCCGTCGAGGCAGTTTTCTTTGGAGGCGGAGCAGTAGGATTTTACTATGTCTGCTTCGGCGAAGCCTGGGAGATGGGGTGTTAGTGAGGGGGCAGGGACAGGGTGGAAAGTGGGCGGGGTGGATGAAGGAGTGAGAATGTTTAAAGAAGTCGAGGGGGAAATCGTGCGTCTTTGTTTTCCCTGACTGGGCTGACCTAGGTTTTGAGAGAAGGAAAGAGACCTACCTTGATGATCCCTCAAGATATACCCACAATACGTAAACCCCTTCCCACAAACCGCCCCTTGACCAGTGGCGGCACCGCTGCCGCCGGAGGCCGCAGGAGCAGATGTAGGTGCCGAAGTAGAAGACCACACCGTTCCTGTCGCCGCCGGAGGCGCGGGGATGCTCGACCACGGCACCGTAACAGACGTCGTCGAAGTCGGCGAGGGCAAAGGAAGAGGAGTATTATCCTGTGCCCGAGACAAAGAAGCGAACAGCAGTAAGACGAGTGACAACATCTTGGTCATGGTGGCTGGCCTTGTTGAATGGGGTGATGACAGTAAAGATGAAAGAGACAGTGGGAGTGGTTCATGAACAGGCAGTATAAGAAAGAACCGAAAAAGAAAAATCGACAAGTCCTCGCGTGGTTTGAGGTGTTTATACTGGGTTTGTAACTCTTGATCAACTTGTCACCCGTAATCGATCTTGAAAAAGGTCGATGGCCTCTTCGATCTTGTATCATCGTGCAGGCGTGTCTCCCCTCAACAGTCCAACATCGGCAAGCATATTTGCAAGTTGACCTTAACCCAACACTTCGCCACTATCAACCCCCCCTTTCCCCCAGCACATCTACTCGAATCCTCCGCATTGGGAGAGATGTAAAGTGTTATTACGTAGTATCCTGTCGCAGTATACCCTTGGCGTGCTCCCCCCTACGCAAGCAACCCCCCTCTCAACCACTGTGATAGCGTGATAGCAACATACCCCTCGGGAGCCCCGGTGAGAGTCTACAAAGTCCCCCCTGAGTGTACAAACATCAGCCTCGAGATTGATTCCGACAAATTCTTCTCGCAAAGGGTACCTGAGTCGGCCTTATCCGATCACTCACCTGAGAAGAACAATGATAACGGAGAATAAGTAAGACAAGGACTCGAGTGGTGTAACTTGGTAACAATACACACGGGGGATAGCATCTGAGCTGGACAAGTACCAATGAGGGGACCGAGTCAGGTAACCTGTCATAGACGTGCAGACAAGTTGGACAGGCAGGCCCGCGAGTCCAATCCGTCTCACCTGTAGCTCCGGTTTTGTGAGCTGTATCCCCCTTGGGCTGAGCTTGATGGAGTGATATGTGATGGCTCATCGGCACTCGGTGAAGGCAAGCCGTCTCGATATGTTGTTGTTTGGCACTTTGTCTGTTGGAACCTTGAATAACCGATGAACACTTTTGTGATTGGATTATGACCATGTTTTATGTTTTGCTCTGTCTGATACAATATCGGATGGAAGCCAGAGTATCTCTGCCAAGGCTGAAGAGTGCTATACCACCACGAAGGACCAAACAAATGACAATACAATACAATAAGTAATAGTAATAGTATAAATAGTAAGTAAAAAAGCCCCAATTGCTCCTTTTCCCGATGATTTGCGCTCCCCCAGCCCCCAGTCCATTCTTTACCTTACCCGAAGTCTACCGAACATTGTAACCTCAAAAAATGCATCTCCCGGTCCATACTTCCTCCCCTGACTGGCCCTCATTGGCACAAATGCAAACCCCATCAATTTGCTCCCCTTTTCCAACACGTGTTCGACACTCTCGGCTCTTCTCTGACCAAAACCACAGGGAATCAAACCGAAAAAAAAAGCCTACCCCCAGAAATGCATTTCTCTAAAAAAAAAAAAAAAAAAAAAAAAAAAAGGGCCTTTGACCAAGGCTCGGTTTGCTGACAATGACGCCGCTGAAAAGGTCTGGTCGAAAAAGCCAGACCTATGTGATAAATGTGTGTGATGTGAAATGTGAAAATGCCGATTCGAGTCGATATAAAAAAGGGTATTGTTTCTTCTTCTTCAATGATGGCTGGTCTTGCATCGTGGCGTTGGTCATTTGGCGTTTTCAGCTTTGTTTCTGCTGATGATCGCCTGGAGAGCACTCAAGGAGCAGATAGTGTACAATACACGCCTGTTCATGTGTTTAGACGGACTGGTAGAGCAGCAATGGCTCCCCGACATTGCTGATTTCAGGAATGGTGCACTTCAGATCAAAAGCTTTGGAGAGCACAATCTTGAAGATCTGCAAACGAAGAGGGTCAGACATGATACAACTCAAAAAGGCCAAAGAGCACAAGGGACGGGTATACCTTTTGAACGTTGATACTGTGACTTGTGCTGCTAAAGATCAATGCAGCACGCATGGCCTTTGCAAAACGACGGGCCTAGCACACGTTGGTCAGTCGGGAGCAACAATATGTAATCTACCAGAAGCAGGTCATACCTGAGTCGATATCTCCTCCTGCTCTTCGCGTGACAAGTTCACAAAGTGGTCGTACTTTGTGCCCACGAGAACAGGGATGGCCGTCTTGTTGAAGCCGCGTCCCTGGCGATACCACTCCTTGATGCTGTTCAACGTGCTCTTGCGAGTCAAATCAAACATGAACAGGATGGCCACGGCATCATTGCACACCAGTGGCAGCATGTTGACAAATTCGCGCTGACCACCCAAATCCCAGATGCTGAAGGTAATCTCGGTGTTTCGGATGCTGATTGTCTTTTCCATAAAGTTGACACCCAGAGTCTGGATGTAGTCCTCGTCCCAGGACCCCTCGACGTATTTGACCATGAGACTTGTCTTGCCAATCTGGGCATCGCCAACCATGCCAACCTTGATGACCACGTGGTTGCGGCCATTATTCTGCACATCACCGGCCACCCCTTGTCCATTGCTGCTGCTGGCAGTTGGCGCTTGTCCCGAGAGGCCGGATGGGGGTCGAGAAAGGGAAGGTTGCTGCAATGGCTGGTTTCCGTACCGAGCGGTCGAGTCGGGATCGGTGTTGTCATTCACATGGGGCGAGTTGGCAATTCCGAGACCATGTTGTTCGCCAGAGGATGACTGAGCATGGTGTCGATCGTGGAAGCCATTGAGATCTGAGGCGCCATAGTCGTTTGTAGGCTGAACTGTGTCCTCCATTCCGACCATAGAGTCATCCTGCAGCTCGACTGGGGCTTGGTTGTAGGTAGGGGTGGGAGTCAGAGCAGAGTCTGAGTAAGGGTGAGCGGCAGCATGATCTTGCTCCATGGTGTTGGGGTCGGCGATGGGGAATTGAGCTGGGGATCCCTCGGGCTGGTTGGAGGGTTCCTGGTAGAAGGCGGTAGGGGGGTTCATGATTAGTCGCGCTGTGGCGGTCGGTAGTCGGTCGAGCGCTTAGACTAGACGGACAAGCCCTAGAGTATAGCAGTCGATCGGGGCGGATGTCGTTGAAGAAGACAAATGTGGCGGTCGGTGGTCGGCAGTTGGTAGTCCAATGCTAGGCCAGCGACGAGTTCATGGAGACGCAAAAAACAGAGAGCTGAGGGAAGCGTGGTAGAGGTAAGCTGGGTAGACTAGCTTGGTCGGGGATGCTATAGAACCAAAACCAAAGAAGCCAGGGACCGTGTTCGTCTCAACTCTCAAACAGCAGTCACAGTCGGTGGTGGAAGAGTGGGAAGATGGGCGTTCGCAGCGAAGCAACCAGGGCAGGATGCAGGTCGCAAGTACGTGCGGGCGGGTGGACGGTGCGGTGCTGCAGTGCGGAGCCGGATCGGATCGTCAGGCTAGGTATCGTGGAACCCAGGCTGTCGGCGCGCCTGGCCAAGGAAGCAGACGACAGGCAGAAAGTCAACCTGGAGGAGGAGGAACAGATAGATGCCCACTGATGTGAATGGAGGTTGCTGGATCGTGGGGAAATGTGGGAATGAGTGCAGTAGCCGGTACCTTAACTGCCTTGACTCCTGCAGGACAGAGCAAGGGGAGGTTCAGAGGGGAACCAAATCGAAACTCACCCACTGTGGTGCAAAAGGCCAAGCGCGCGAACTGACGGTTACCCACCACGGCCCTGTTCCGACTCCCGATCCCCGACTCGACTGTCCACTCAGCTAGCGTTTTCAATTAATTGAGCCCAGCACACGTCACTGCTTCTGGCCAGGACCAGGACGCGCTGCTCGACACGCGACGCGATTTGACGCTTTCTTTCTTTTCTTTCTCTCTTAGAGAGTCCTATGTAGTGATGATCATGATTGCCTTTTCAGGGGAGATGTCCCCAATGTAAACAATCAACAAAACCACTCCAATAGAGCAGCAACCATTGAAACGCTTTGCCTTGCTTTGTTATCAAATCTCCAGGCCGCCTCCTTAAACGCGGGGTCAAGGTTCAGTTTGTTTGGTTCCCCTCATCGGCCCAGAGCATTGGATGGAGGATCTAGCCACACGCCTTCTTGCTGCATATCTGCCTGCCAAGCGCCTTTCAACACAGGTACCTTAACTTTGACATGAGGTAGGCAGGTCTAGAAAGGTATAAATGAGGCTCCGATTCCATCATCTCTTGACCTCAACCGCCATTTGCTCTAAAATAAGCGCCGGCATAAGCGCACCTGAACAGAGGCCTACTCCCTGAATGGCATGACCTTCAACCAAAACATACTTCAAGACTGAAACCTTTCACTCCAATTTACCTGACCTTGACCTTGTCGCATTCAATTCAAAAAACCAAGAAGCATCAAGTCGCGTGTTGAAGATGACCTCATCTGGAGATTCCAACTCCACCATCAGCAGACAGAGCTCCGCGCTTATTATGTAAGACAAGCTCGGTAGCTCGGTTCCCTGCTGCTGCGTTTGACTGGCCGCCCGGCAGCTGGCCGGCAACCACCGGCCCAATCACCGGGACTGGCTTCCGACAATCGCAGTGGTACTCCGTCCCGTCTCTTTATCGGTAGGTAGCGTCATTCGATTTATCTCTGGGTTCTCGACAACCTCACTCACCCTTCGCTTCATTCCAGCTGTACAACTCAAAATGGCCTCCATTGCCCGGTACCTAAGGGCTGCTCGCCCATCAGCCTTCGCTGCCGTGAGGAGCTCTGCTTCCCGCACCGTTGCTGCCCGCCCATTTTCCGTCACCGCATCCAGTGAGAGAACCCCTCCAAAACCTCGGCCCTGAGTTTGCGACGGGCCTTACTAACCACCAGACCCCCTCTAGACGAGATCAGGAAATACACCAAGGAGCACGAATGGATTGACCTCGCCGCCGACAAGAAGACCGGCGTCATCGGCATCAGCGAGTACGCCGCCAAGGCCCTCGGTGACCTCGTCTACGTCGAGCTCCCAGAGGAGGGCAGGACCGTCAACAAGGGCGACGCTATCGGTGCCGTCGAGTCGGTCAAGAGTGCCGCCGACATCAACGCCCCCGTGAGCTGCAAGATCACCCAGATCAATCTCGTGCTCGAGGAGAAGCCTGGCAACCTCAACCAGGTCCCTGAGGATGACTCCCACGGCGGCGGCTGGATCGCCAAGGTCCAGGTTGACGAGCAGGGCCTCCAGGACTTTGAGACCCTGATGGACTCTGAGCAGTACAACGAGTTTACTGCCAACGAGGACCACTAAGCAGAGACATGACCTGAAGAAGGGGAGAGAGAGACGCTGAGAGGGGCGGGAGGCCTGGCAGCGAGGTGCTCTCTCAGGGGTGTACGGTAAATTGGTTTTTTTTCAAATTCCGGACAGTTCAACCTGATAAATACACAAGGGGCCCAAAGAAAGGATCTGTACCATACGGGACATGGGAAATACCGGGGCAAAAGGGTGTTTTGATTTTTATGGGTGCGCATCTTGACTTTGATGACAAGAGGATTCACGACAGAGAAGAGTCAGCATTGCAATGGCGCAAACATTGTGCCATTTCAGATACCCGTCGAGGGCCAGGCAGAGAGCACTCAACGGCTGATTATAGAAACCAAGCATGATCCGACAGTTGGAGTGGAAACACCGTGAGATTTATCATTGTGAAGCATAAGCAAGCCCTGTCGCTATTCTATTTTTTGATCCGCCCAAAAACACAACCCATCACGACGAGCACCTAAGCATCGCTGACCTTGAGCGCACCCGGCGCCGATTCACGAAGCTTGTTGATAGCATCAAGAATCTCCTGAGCACCCTCCCTGGCCAGCTTCTCAGCCAAGCTCTTCCCAAGAGCCTCGGCCTCCTCCAAATTCGCAATCTTCTCTGTCCTCTCCCCATCCACAGCCTTTTTGCCATCCAGGCTGACAACCGCAACCTTCAACCTCAGCTTCTTCTCCCCCTCATCCTCAACCCACTTCGTCTCAACCCCAATCGGCACCGAGCACCCGCCCTCCAACGTCCTCATCACACTTCTCTCCGCAAATGCCGCCATCATAGTATCCTCATCCACCGCAGCTTTGATCAACTCGGCAATCTTCTCATCCCCCTCCCTAATCTCCAACCCCAACGCCCCCTGGCCCACAGCATGCAACAACCCCCCTCCCTCCGTCGAGCTCTCCAGATACTGCCCAATCCTCTCATCATACCCCAACCTCAACAACCCCGCCGCCGCCAAAATAATAGCATCATACCCCCCATTCTCATCATCACACTTTGCCAACCTAGTATCAATGTTCCCCCTCACATCCCTAAAAACCAACCCCTTATAGCTCCTCTTGAGCTGCGCCGCCCTCCTCACACTGCTAGTCCCCACCACCGACCCCTCAGGCAGGTCCTTCAGCGCCTTATATTCCCCCCCCTGACGCCTCGGAAAAACAACCACATCCCTCGCATCCTCCCTCTGCGTAACCGCCCCGAGAACACACCCCTCCGGCAAGCTCGTCGGCATGTCCTTGAGCGAGTGCACAATAACATCCACCTCCTTGTTCACCAGCTTCGCCTCCAATTCACTAGTCCACAAACCCTTCCCCAGCGACGGCAAAGGGGTAGTCTTGTCCCTGTCCCCCATGGTAGCCATGGAGTGAACCTCAAACTTGACCGACGGACCGGCCGCCTTTGAGAGCGCGGCGATGACGAGGTCGGTCTGGGCCAGCGCGAGGGCCGAGCGGCGGGTGCCGATCTTGACGGTGTATTCTTCGGTCATTGTTGTATCGTTTCTCGTTACTATCGTGTTGCTGCTGGCTTTGTGAAATTCGAAAAAAGGAATTTGACTTTCGAGGACCCTGGATTTTTCTCGTGTTTCAATCCCGCTCAAAGACGACAGTTATACTTTCTCGACAAAACCGGCGCAATGGGTGAATGCAGATGCAAGCAAATTAACCAGCAGCAGGAGACGAAGCGTCCGATGAATCACACCCTGCTTCGGCCGAGGGACAAGTTGACTTGCAGGAAGTTTTGGAGTCGCTACAGCGGGGTAGATTTGTCAATTGTTGACAGGAGTCCGCTGTTTGAAACCGCTGCGGGGGTGGGGTCATTGCCTCATAGTGCCCCCTCAACACCAAGCAAGACACCTTCCTCTCACCCAGACAAGCATCACAAAAGGCGTCACCCAACCCCAGAAGCAAAAGATATCTGTAATCACAAACACTACAATTCTATCCCTACTCGTCCATTGCTAGGATTTCATTAGCGATTACCACATCATCCGTCTCATCCAGCCAAAGCTTGTCTCTAGGATTCATCATCATCATCCAACCTCTTTCCTCCCCCATTCCCCTTTTTTCCACGACTTTACTTCCCATTTCCATTCTCCTTCCGATTACTCCCCCGACTGCTCCCCCGAATAGTCTTCCTATCATCCTCCAAAAAGTGCTCCAACAACTGATGCGCCCTCTGGCCCACTTTGGCATCCTCCGCCAGCAAATGCTCCGGCGCCCTCCTCTTCCCAGGGGCAGGAGAAGCAACCCTCTCATCCTCCCCAATCACATGCTCCTTCACCCTCAACTGATCAGCCCAACTCTCCATAACCCGCACATCATGCCCCATCTCGTGCCCCCTCACTGGAGAAGGCGCAGGACTCTTGACCTGAAGCTCGGCACGTAAATCATGCTGTTGATACTCCCGCCCCGGGCTCGGTGTCAAAACCTTCCGATCCTGACTCAGATCATGCTCAACATTCAGCCTCTGCAGCTCCGGCACAGGCACCTTCTCTTCAAGATGAATCCCATGAGCAAAAGCCCTCGAAGTCGGAGTCGGCACCCAGCTGTCTCTGGAAATGGTGTGCTCCCTGGCCTTGTGAACCGGTGAATCAACCCTCTGGTCCCCTCCAAGCCCATGCTCCTTCAGATCCAACCCCTTATCACCAACCTTGACATCCTCCTTCAAACCATGCTCTCCCTCTACCCTCTCAACCTCGGCCGCCTCCTCCAAATCAACATCAACAATCTCATCCTCCCTCAAACTATGCCCTCTCGGCCTCTCCTCCCGTACCCCAACCTTAGGGTCAAGACCAAAGCTGTGCTCCCGAGCCCGAGCAGCAATCTCCTGAACCCTGATATCAGCCTCAATGAGATGATCCCTCGGATCAATAACCAACTGCACAACCTTCGGATCCTGCCCAAGAGAATGCCTCTGGACACTCTCCCTCCGATCCGGCACCCGAATGTCAATACTAAGACTGTGATTCCTCGACGAGTGATTACTATGAGGAACCTCAACATCAGCACTGATGCCATGATCCGTCACAGTAGCCCTCCTCAACCTCGCCGGCGTCCCCGGTTCAGAAACAAACACCTCCCCGGGCTGAATCTGCACCACCCCCCGGTTAGGTGAGTTCCTGTCCATCCCCGCCAAAATATTCGTAGCCTGTTGAACCAGCTGTGTCGCCTGCTCGAGCCCCTCTTCCACCGGCAAAACAATCACCTTTTTCTTCTCCCCACAATTACCACAGACAGCATGA